AGAAGCTATCTTTTGCGGTGCGACTTGGGGGTTGGCCTAGGGGGGTCCATCCACACTAGCATGCCATCATAATCTCATGCCTTTAACATCAAATCGGTCTATTTTTTTCAAAAGAACGGAACGTATGGAGATCGCGTCAAGAGTAAGGATTATTTTCAAAAAAGAATGAAAAAATGGTAGAAGGCAAAATGTAACAAGAGAATCCATTAACTCGACAGCAGTAAAAGTAACCTCTTGCTTTTCTCTTGGTGAACTTCCTTTTCACATGTCGTACAATCTGACCGTAGTTGACTGAGATGGTTGTGAGATTCGACAGAAAAGCCATAGCGGTTAAGTAGGCGCCAAGTCGAGGCAGCGTTCGTCCTCGATACATGCGCACGCAGTTCAGACTGTCACTCGTCGTTGCCACCGATTGCATCTAAAATAGTGATAAATCTCCAATTTTCAAAGTGCTCAAAAAGAAAGCAACCTGCACAAGTATTGCCATAACGACGAGGCAAAGTAGAGCAAGTGCAGCGATCGGTGTCAATCGCACAAAACGCTTTCTAAGCTGGAAATTGTATTTATTTATTTATTCAGATTTTAGAGACTGTTTTTTGGCTTTAGTTTCGCCTTAGATCCGAGCATACTTCATGCGATTTCAGTCTTCACGTGATCTAGCATTATGCCAGACGTCTTTCTGTTTATTTTTGCAGACTGGTAATATGCCTTTTCTGTGCATCAGTTTACGTTTAAGATGACTCAAGAAAATGGAGCATAAAACACATGATAACTGAAATCGTGTGAACTGCATGGCCTTGGAAAACTATCAAATTTGAAAAGTCTCGAAAACTTTGACTCTTTATAAGTTTATTGAGATCTATTACTGATAATAAATTGAGCACGTTTGATGTCGAGTAAAACAGAAAATTGTAATCTACTATCCTACTTCCATACCTTATACAGGGTGTCTTAATAACGTGCACACTGTTTGAATTTCGATAACTTTCCTCCTACGATGCCTTTTATCGACCTCTAGTGAGGATTACGTAGAGCTGGTTTCACTTAAATTGCAGTATGTCTCAACACCTTTCTTCCTTTGTAGGATTACGGTAGGAACTTCGGAGAGGGTTTGCAGCCGTTGAGAGTCGCATTTTGCTTCAGAAAAAGCCCAGCAAACCAAATTGCATACTATGCTAGTCAGAGTCGCTGATTTCAGATGTGATATATGCACAACACAGTCATGCTTTCTTCATGAGCTATCTTAGAAAAACAGAAATTAGTGCTTTTCCGGTATTCTTCACCAATAGAATGTGATTACATCTTTAAAATAGCTCAAAAATCTTGTAAAAAGTTGCATGATGATTTCAGATGCTTGAATACCCTGCTACACAATTTTTGAAGGTATTTTGGAATTTTTTCATGAAACGGCCCAATTTACAGTGGCGCGTATGCCAAAAGTTCTTACCGTAATCCTACAGTAGTAAAGAGAGATCGGAGCTCCGTTCTATACTGATAATCTATGGGTAAGTTAAAGCAAGCTCTACGGAATGGTACGTAAAGATTGGAGAGAGACATTGAAGCAAGCGAGTTCTCGCGATCAAACAGTGTGCAGTTCTTCTGGGACACCATGCACACCAGTTCATTTACTTCCATGGTTTTGACAAATTTAGCCGTTAGAGATTATTCCGCTATCTTTGCTGTCTATGAAGGAAGCTCAAAGGGAATTTTGGTTGCAAGTTTTCGTTAGCACTACTTTATAATCCTAAGCTTTAGATGGTGCCCCCTCATTCGACTGGCTCTCATCGCAAAAGTCCTTGAACTACCCAGTCATTTCCAGCAAACAAAATATATATATGAGTACAAAATACTATGATATGGCGTTCTATGCCATTGTCACTTCCCTTACTCCTTAGAGAAACTGGAATGTTTTCGTTGTACAAAGCTCATATAGCTGCTTTTGCTTGTAATGATTTATTCTAGAGTTTACTAGAAAGAAAAAGCTCGAGTTATAGCGATGAGAAATGAGAGAAATGTTATTGATGGCAGTGTCATCTGCGCTAAATGTCACCTATTTGTAACACAAGATAGTATCTCAAAAATCATCTTGCTGATTTCTTAGATTTTATAGGCATAACAGAGTTGTAGGCAGACCTACCTGGCTACAAAATGGCTTCCTAATAGTGATATATCGCTCTATACTGATGCAGGACAATAGCGTGAGCGAAGCCAATTTTACCGTCTGCTCTATGACAAACATCGCTCGGCAACTGTTCGTGTCTAGAGATTTTACATTTAGCATGAGATTATGGCAAAAATGTCTTTCGGAAGGTTCACTCACTTACCTAGCAAAAGTTCTGGCAATGACAGATAGATTGTACGAACTAGGAGAACCATCAATACTGTGAGATCGACAATAGCTAGAACGGATATGTACGCTCGCAGACGATCTGACGGGGAACTGTTTCGTAGCAGGCCCCTTAAAAAGTGTAGATTGCATTCATTTAATTAAGTGACACTAGAACGTCGAAAACAAATTTAGGCCACAGAAATAAGAACACGTAATTTAGATAACAGATTTTGTAAGTAGAAACAGATTTTGTAAGTAGACACTACAACTGTATTCTTTCGGCTACTCGTGCATGCTCCCTGCGCTTTCTCATTTTTTCTATCTTATGCTCAACTTTTCTGTATTTCAAACGTTTGACAAGTTCAGGTAATTCAATACACCCACTGCAGAATATTTATTGCTTTTGTCAATCGAAAATCCATGACAAATCTACTCAAGGCAATCTCAAGATTTCATTCTATGTAAAGGAGGGGGAGGGCGTGGGGGATGAACAAAATCCCTCTTACGAAGATGCTCCGAAAATTTATTCGGGATACTTTTCAAAACGGCGGGCCCATAATCCCAGTGTGATGGCAGCCACTTCCCCACCATAATTCTTATAAGACAATTGCAAATATATACAATTCACTTTCTTTTCAACTTTCATAAGTAACTTTCAAAAGTTTCACGACCTATTCTCGGGTTGGAGGAACCTCCCTCGCTTCGCAACTGCTGCAAAGGCCATTTACACCTAT